TTTTGGTATTGAGAAATAAGTGTGATGTACTGGAGAAAAAAAAAAAAGCCAGGGAATAGAAAGACTTCTACAAGATTCCCATAGAAGTCTTGAAAGCTGAGATACCCATCAACAAAGTGTGTACTGTCTACATACCATACCAATATAGGGAAACTGCAAAGATCAAGTTTAGTGACACCCACTCTCAAAAATGTCAGGTTTTGTGACTCCAATCTGTTATATGCCGAGAAACTAGCCCAGTCGACTCATTAGACCTGTGTTGAGGTTACATGGATCTGAGGGGTTTCGTGTAAAATGCATCTTCTTTTATTGACAATTTTATTTTGACAATTTGGACACTTTCTGTAACCTTCTTACTGTGTATTGGAGAGTAGAATTGCTAGCTAAGAAAGTTAATAGCTCAGCAAAAATAAGGTATGAACTTATTTAAAAAACAAAAAATTGTATTTGTCTTCTGTTCCAATAAAATGGTAGGAAGTCCATTCTTCACTAGAATGTGTGCCATTTCTGAGTGCATAATCATCCATTTTTAGGTTAATGTATTTGGGAAAAGGCTAAGGTGAATGCTTGCAACTCATTGTGCCACAGCTACCTGTGTCTTGAGGAGCCATTCTTTTTCTTCTCTCTTTTCTCTGACTCCTTTTACATTTATATTAATTATCATTAATGTTAGCCTTCAAACTCAATGAGTGTGAGAAACCCTCGTCACAATTTATTTGCACTGATGTCATTTTCATTCACGTGATTGTCTAAACTAAATGCCAGTCATTCCAAAAGCACTGTCTAATGAGCTAAAGTAAAGTAAAAGTAGCATAAATGCCAATCATTCATGATAAAATTGTGAGTAAAATAGCATGTCCCTAACTTCAGAGAACTTACTGAGCACTTAAACATTTTGGCACTTTGAGGACTATAAATGGAGTAAGACTTAAGGAAAAAAAAAAATCTCAGCATTAACTCTTAGCCCTCACACCCTGTTTCTCCCTCCCTGTCTCCTTCCCTTCCTCCCCACCCCCTTTTCTCCTTTGGGGGAGGGATGTTCTTTCTATCCCAGGTGGCAGGACTAATGCAAGCATTCATTCTTTTCCTTATGGACTATTGTAATAGCTCCTTCCGTCCATCAGACTCTGTCTTGACTGAAAAACTTTTAAAAAATGCCTATCTGATCTAATTCTTCTTCAGCTCTCTCAAACCTCACATCTAGCCACAGTATCAAGTTCTGATTCTTTAGTATATACAGAGTCTTTTTTTTTTTAAACCAGGGTCTCATTCTGTTACCCTGGCTGGAGTGGTGCAATGGCATGTTCATGCTCATAGCTCACCGCAGCCTTGACCTCCTGGGACCAGGCAATTTTTCTGCCTCAACCTCCCAAGTAGCTGGGAGCACAGATACTCATACCACACCCAGCTAATTTTTTTATTTTTTGTAGAGATGAAGTCTCACTGTTGCCTAGGCTAGTCTCAAACTCCTGGGCTCCTGCAGTCCTCCTGCTTCAGCCTCCCAAAGTTCTGGGATTACAGGCATGAACCACCATGCACAGCCACAAAGTCCTTTCCTAATCCCAGCATGCCTTTACCTCTGCAGTTTATGCTGTTTGCTCTAGCTCCAGGGCTGTAACATTCTGAAACTTTCTCTAATATTACCACCACCGCTCTGTCTCCAGAAGAACTATTCATTCGCTCACTTTTTCCTGATCCTTTTATAATTTACACTTCTTACATTGTATTGTATTGGCTTACTTTACCTTTTTACAACCTCTGTCAGACTCTAAGCAGCAAAAATAGAAGGTGCCATGTGTTCTCATGTTAATCCACAGTGCTTTTGCACAATCCCTGACTTGTAACCATCAATAAATGTTTGCACTTAATTTGAAGACATAGTGCGCTAAATCAGAAAATTCACAGCCGGGCTCAGTGGCTCAGCCTGTAATCCCAGCACTTTGGGAGGCTGAGGTGAGTGGATTGCCTGAGCTCACGGGTTCGTGACCCGCCTGGGCAACTTGGTGAGACCTCATCTCTACAATAAATCAAATATCAGCCAGGTGTGGTAGCGCGCACCTGTAGTTCTAGCTACTTGGAAGGCTGAGGCCAAAGGATCGCTGGAGCCCAGCAGGTTGAGGCTGCGGTGGCCGGAAGCGGCCACTGCACTCCAGTCTGGGTGACAGAGTGAGACTCCAACTCAAAAAAAAAAAAGAAAGAAAATTCACAATCTAGTAGTGTAAATAGAAACACAGCTATCTGTAATACTAGGTAGTATATACTGATGCTAACTAAAATTGGAAATTTCTTGAAATTATAATTATGTCTGTGTCTCCTTTGTATTCTTAACTCCCTTTCTTTCTTTCTGGTATTTTATTGGGTGCATAGTTACTCTGTACAGCTCACAGCTTGACTAAATGAAAGGAAGGCTCCTCAGTGCAGTTTAATGGACCCTCTGCCTCCCATTCTTACAACCCCTTCCTACTCTAAAACCTTGAGAGATGCAACAGCCCCTGGCTTGACCAGAAAAGAGATGCTGTTGAATTCCTTATTCATTTATGTATCATTTTTATACTGATAACTGCACCAAAACTTACAATTCTTTGGCCATGGTTACTCATGAAACCTAAAACACGGTTGGTCATCTACTCACTTTTAAATAAACCAATTTTTATCAATATATATATATATATTTTTTTCTTTCTTTCTTTCTTTTCTTCTCTTTTTATTTGGAGTCTCACTTAGTTGCCCAGGCTGGAGTGCAATGGCACACTCACGGCCACCACAGCCTCAACCGGCTGGTCTCAGGTGATCCTTCCTCCTCAGCCTTCCAAGTAGCTGGAACTACAGGCAAGTGCCACTATGCCTGGCTAATTTTTTGATTTATTGTAAGAGACGAGTTTTTGCCAACTTACCCAGGCTGGTCTTGAACCCCTAGGCTCAGGCAGTCCTCTCACCTTGCCTTCACAAAGCACTAGGATTACAGGCTTGAGCCACCTGGCTATGTTCTTTTTT